AAATATGGAGTAAATACATATTATTCAACGCTTCAACATGTAATGAGCAGCGCAGATGTTTTGCAAGTTGCATGCAGGGCTGAGATATTTGAGAGAAAATAATAGGAACCCTTTATAACAAACTCAGAGAAAGTGTTTCACCTTTCAGCTTGTTACTTAAAAAATCAAGCCTGAAATACTAGTATAACCATTTCCTTGCATCACTTTCCATATTTCGTTTGCCCTGTTCAACGCAGCCAATACGCATGTTTCACTCACCTTCCTTTCTTTGTTCAAGTTGTTCTAGTTCATCTTCAAGATCAGCAGTAAAGAGTTCAGGGGGAGGCAAAGTACCTGAAGGGAAAGGTAAACAGAGAGATACACTGTATTTAGCATTCAGTGCCTTACCTCGCATAAATGGTTAAAAACAGGCATTTAACAAACACTTCACATTGTACTAGGCTCATGTGAAGAACTGAAAGTATTAGATAACTATCTCACTTAATAATTATAAAGGAAGAGGGATCATCTTTACTAAGGAATAGTTTCCCTTGAAAATGTATAATCTGAAGAAGGAGTGGAAGCATTCATCAATAGTAATAAAATCAGATAACAGATTATTTTAAATAAGGAATAATTTTCCTTCAAAAGTGATAATTCGATACGGGGGTGGAAGCCTTTAACGGCACTCTTGGATTTATTTCTCTCTGATAATGAATCAATAAACATTTTATATTCACCTTCCATTCTGAGCCTCTGAAGCTTCATACGTAGTTCAGCTAGTTTTTTCTCAAGATCAATGGTTGAAAATTGAAGGAAAGAAAAACTACCTGAGATCAAAGGTACACAGAAATATATTTAGCACTAAGTACCTCACCTGATATAAAAAGTTAAAGCATGATAACATGTATCGAGGTCAAGTGAAAGAACAATAATGCAAGTTTTCCATTATATCATTGTGAAATAACCTATCTATAAGTAATATTTCATTATCACATGCAACAGCCAATTTAATACTTCCTTTAACTGAAATTGAGGATTAAGAGTCAAAACTGAATTAAAAATATTTTCCTTAACAAAACTAAGTTACTGAATAACAGCTGAGAACATTTCACAGTATTCTTGGATGAAAGTAAGGACAGAAAAAAGGTTAATATCTCAGATAGGGAATAATTTCTCTTAAAGTGTTTCCTGAAAAAAATATGAATTCATTTCATGGCATTGAGCTATTTACATGACTAAAATATTTGAAAAATATAAAAAGCAAACATTTTTGACACTAGGTCATCATCACCCTGATAATGACCTGGTTTCGAAAATGTTCGGTTTTCACCTATTCAATATTATTAGCTTATTTTTTAAACCTAAGCAAACTTTATGGACAGTTATTAGCATTCTTGTACCATTATCTCCCTCAAAATGACAAGAAATGAATTTTTCTATTCACCTTCTATTCTCAGCATTCTAATTTCCCCAGATACTTGCTGTAGCTTTTCCTTATCAGTGGTGGGGAGAGAATGGAGAGAACCTGGGGGCAAAGGTATACAGAGCTTTTCAAAATTCAGTGTCTGACTTTAAACATAAAAGATAACAACAGATATACTTGTGCAAACAACAAATTATTGTCATGCTAAAGTAAAACAGTGTTAGTTCTTCATTATAACTCCACGATCATCGTTGAAAACAACTATTATGTATTTTTACCACATGCCGACTCAATACCATCCTTAGCTAAAGTAGAGAGTGAAACAATGCCAAATTTGGATTAGTCTACAGTTGACTCTCGCCCTGTGTACCCCTCACTATTACAGACACCTCGCCACTGCAAACAAGAGCCAGCCCCTGGAGAAAAGCATGAAGAAATGACTGAAATAAACTCCCTTTAAAACGGACTCTTCCTTTTACCGAAATGTAGACACTTTCAAGCCCCCCAGCACGAAGTTTCACTTGTTTTTTTCTCTTACTATAACAGACACCTAGTGCTTCATCCAAAATCCTAACAAACATACTATAAAGCGACATTATGAAAAAGGAAAAAAAAGAAACCATTCTTCAACAGGGTGTGAACATGAGAATTTCCTGCTTGCGGCCAGATCTCTTTCCCGTTTGTGAGGCCACGTTGGAAACTTTATTTCATATGTTAAGAAACAAAACAATTTCCTATCTCTCACACCCCGTTATTACAGACTTTTCGCTATTTCAGACATTTAATCTCCCTGCGAGGGTGTCCATAGCAATGGGAGTCAACCCTCAGGGGTAGGGTACAAAGTGAAATTCATGGTGTTACTTTTAATAGCGACACGATAACAGGTCAAACCAACATGTGATTAACTGATTGTATATGATGTACAAAATCTATCTAAACTACATCATTGTCAGTTTTTTAAGGCATAATTTAAGATCAACACCGATAAAACTTAGTTTAACATTATACACTATTTCACCATCCTCAGCCTCTACCATCTTAATGTTCCCTTCCAGCAAAACACAGAGTGAGGAAAAACTAAATTGGGTGAAATTTCCTTTCAAAAAAAATATTTTGAATGAGAACTAAATGTATTTAAAAGCATTCTTAGTTTAGTTTTACCACAAAATTTAATTTAACAGCATATTTTTATTCACCTTGCATTATTTGAAGTTTCCTATGTAGCTCTTCTAGTTCTTCTTCAAGATCAAAGGTGGAAGATCCAGGAAGAGGCAACATGCCTATAAACAAAGGTATGCAGAGAGATATTACCATTTCTACTAATTAATAGTTGGGAAAAGGCATACTAACTTGCATTTAAAGATACTAGTAGGTACATGTACACTGTAGATTACCTTCATTTAAAAACAGAAGCTTTAAAACCAAAAAAAAAAAACTATTGAGAACAACTGAAAAAGTAATCACTCTACATGTATGTAACGTTTCCTTAATTCATTGCATGGAAACTCAGCACTACCTTTAACTAGAGAAGAGAATGAGGCAGAAACACATTTCAAATAATTTGCATTGACAAGTATCATTTTTCATAATTGCTGACAGAAGCATTCTTGCTTATTAATAACATTAATTTCTATTCTAAAAGATGACTAAAACCACATTCACGTTCTTTTTTCATTTCTCATTTTTTTCCTGAAGTTTCATGGCTTCACTCCTACAACTTTTTAGGCCAATTTACGCACGGATGAATTCTTCCACTTCTTCAATGTCAATGCATCAAAACAACAAGTCAGTGATTTGCTAAATTGTTTTCTTTTTTTTCTTGGAGCATGTCAGGGGGATCTGAACCCAAACTGGAACCCATGTTAGACTTCAACACGTCAGCAAAAACAACTGAAAGTAGTAAGCCCCACATCTTTTTATTCATTTCAAGGTGCTTTGATATCAGTTTTAAGGGTAGATCAACTAAATCCACTTAAAAGCGGGTACTTTTCCCAATAACAAAGGGAAAAACTCAACAAACATGAAGAACATTAAATAGTCAATAACTTGCAATACAATACAACTTTTTGCTTGGCTTACTGGTAGTAGCTGAACATAACGAGCAACAAGTTTCAATTACATTAACTTCAAAAATAACAGCTTTCCATATAACTTAATACAAGTTTTTTTAATTTCCTTTTCACCTTCCAATTTCGCTGTCTCCACAATCTTTGCCTCCTGTTCACTTTTTTCCCATTGTTCTTTTTTTTGTGGACTTTCACTGGTTGAACTTGTGGAGTGGAATTCAGAGGATAAACCACCTAAAATCAGATTTACAAGAGGACAAACATTTTGAACCATAAACATACCTCAAACTATTTTTAAAAACACCCAACGTGTAAAAACTAGAAACATTTTCTTTCATAGCCCCTCCAATGAAAATCTTGCAAAAATCTGTAAAGAATTTTAAAGAAAAATTTTTTCAGTAATCCATTTTTACGACTGACAGTTGAAATTTGTCGATTTTTATGCCTAAGGCTATTTTTTTTCCATTTTACGGTTTATGGTTAACTTCATTGAGACCCTCCTACATACTCCTCCTCCTGTACTAAGGAGTGTCTGTTTAGATAGTCAATCCCAACACAGGATTCTCTTCATATTACCCACAGGTGTGGCCAGCGATAGTATAAGGTAAAGTTAATAACGTCAGGTAGCACATGTGATTATTGTAACTCTAAGGTAGCTTCCACAAAGGCTCTTCAACGTTCAATTAACAAAATCCAAGTTACAAACTGCATGTGAACACTGTGTTCTGGCTTTGACCCGTACATTAAAGTTTGCAGTGCCTTAACAAACTGAAGGGTGTAAATGGATACAATTAAAAACGCCTTGGCAATCTGATAAAAAGCCGGAGTAGTATCCACTACAATACCGCGCACTTGACACTTGTGCAGATCTAAACCACTGCACGCGCGCACCACGCAAACTGTGTATAACATGAAACAGTACATGTAATTTTGCATATTTAGCAAAATTTGAAAGTTTCCAGGACCAGAATGAGCTTATCCTAAGAAGCCAGATATTTTTTTAACATCCACCAAGAAGAAATTCACTTTTCACTGGTATTTTGCTCCTTTTCTTCTACAATTTTTATTTTCTAGTGCAATGGGAGGTTTTCTCCTCATGGGCTGGGTTGCCAGGATTTACAACCCGTGAAAACAGTCTCCGTCTAAGTGCTGGGTGCCAATGGAGGAACATAACTGATGTATAAGGCCTCCAATGAGCATAGCAATTGTTAATAATTACTGCAGTAGAAGGCTGCATATGCAGGAGTTCCCTGGAAAATATTTTACAGTACCGCTTGCGTATATGTTAACTGCGCAGACGAATTACGTACGCTCAGACTCAGGGTAGTCGGACGCGCATATACGATTGTTTTGCGCGCACGGTCGAAAAAATGCGCGACTCATGTGCCTTTGTTATTCAGGGCTATAAATTTCCTTTGTATTTCATCGTTGTGTAGAACAAATAACTTTTAGGTTTGAAAATGCGACGAGTCGATAACGGAAAACTCACGTTATGAAAAAAGCTATAATGTTACACTAATGCATGTCAC